GGAGAACACATGCAGAAGGTGGCCAGGCGGTTCTGTCTGGGCTTATCAGTCCGCATGACCTCAACTCTCTACCATCTGCCTCTCTAGTCACTGCCCAGTGGCCTGGTCAAAACAGGCCTGAGTTCTGCAAGGAGGATCTGCCAGCCTTACTGCTTAGTCCTCAGTTGCCTGGCAATCCTTGTCTGAGATATACTAACCCAGATTTGGGTTCAGGTGATAAAGAGGTACCTAGACCCTCTCCGCTCCCCTCACTGGGACAAAGTGGCCACGATGGGGATCTGCAGATGGAAGCACACAACCTAGGAATCCACTTTGACTTGGAGCATTCCGTGTATACAGGAGAATGGGGGGCAAGAAGGTAGTTGGTGACATCTGTTTCTGGTCAGTGCCAGGAGTATACTGAATGAATCTGACCCCTTCTTGTTTACCACTCTTAGACTGTACAATATCTCTTGACTGGATATGGAAGAATATTCTGGAAGTGCCTTGGGCATAAATAGACCTCAACGCCTTGCTTCAGCTGGAGGTACCTCCCAAGAATTGCTCAAAATCTGACCCAATCTCTGGTCAAAAGTTACATGGTTCCCTACAACAAATAGACTAAAGTCCACACTCTTGTGTCCTTGACAATCTGGCCTTTATCTCTCCTGCTTTATCTCTTACTGCAAACCTGCCCTGACCTAACCCTTCCCTCATCTCTCCACTGTATTCAAACCACACTGGCACTTTGGCCCTGACTCAAATATCTGCTCAAGTTATTCCGTCTTTCAGGAAATGTTTTTCCACACCACACTTGCCACTCAAAGAGCTACACCTCTTCAGAAGTTGACTCAAAAGACACTTCTTCCTTGAAAGAAAATAAAGTTTCCTCGGGAATAGCTAGCTCTCTACCCTCCACTTGGAAACCCTGGCCAGTCCCCTTCCCCCACAGCTTCACAGCAGGTGTGATAACTGAATTCTAGCACTCAGCATAGTTGTGTTGTATAGGCCTTGTCTACATCAGTGCCGAAGGAACTGTATCTTTCACAAGGCTGATTCCTTCATTCTTCTATTCGGAATGAATGCATCCCACCTTAATTAACCCCTCCTCACTTTAACAAGTTCTTTCCCACAATCCCCCTCTGGATTTACACCTTTGGGTGCTATATAAATGGGCACTCCTTTTTTCAAACCATTTCCATCAGCACATGCAGTCTTTCTCCTGATTCAGACACTCCTAATGACCATTTTTCTGTGTGCTCATTCTTCCCCATTCCTAGAAAGCAGGGTGCTCTGCAAGTGGGGTTCAGTAACAGAGGCTGTCCTCTTGCCTTACCATCCATCTCTGAGTATCTCATGATTATGACAAGCATCTCAGAAAAAAGCCTTGAGAAGTCTAGATGGAAACCAATGCCCCGTGGAAACACATAAATATTTTATCAGGCTCTGAACAATACTCTTATTCATGAATATTTAAACTCCCTGATAACATAATGTTCAGTGGCTGATTAGAGTCAGCTTGTACCCGGTAGGGAGTTGAGAGGAAGGGCATACAACAGCGATGGCAGCAGACATTCCAGAGTCTCTGTTAAAGATCTAAAAACACTGAAAATGAGGGCTTCCCAATTCACATGGACATTCATTTTTTCAAGCACTCTCCATCTGGAATGTGAGGTAGGTCAGCACCCGGTGGAACTGTCTAGGGAAGATTATCTCTGGGCTGTAGGAGGCTACCACATCAGTCACAACCCCCCACAACTGTGTCACACCTGTCTCACCACTGGTGGCACATAGGACTCAAAATAAGACAGATCCTATAATAATGCTCATGGCCACTTTATTCCAAATAGTCCCAAACTGGAAACAACCTAAGTGTCCATCAATAACAGAATGGATAAACACATGGTAGATATTCATACAATGGTATACTATCTTGGAATAAAAATAAATGAACAACAGATATACTCAACGACATGGATGAATCTCACAGACATGATATTGGTTAAAAACAAGCCAGACACAAAAGTACATAAGTGTGAATGCATTTATATGATGTTCAGGAATGCACAACTAATCTATGAAAGCAGAAATAAAAAAACGTTGCTTCTGGGGTAGGGGTGACTAGAAAGGGACATGAGGGAAATTTATGGGACTGAAATTTTTAATATCTTGTTTGCAGTGTGAGCTTATCAAAATCGGCCCAGCTTCTAACACAGGATTCAGCTTAGAGGTCACTGATCTCCAGGATCACCATTTACCTATGAAATATTGATTGACCTGAATTGCCTCAAAGGACTTCTAGTATTTTATCAAGGGTTCTGCAACCTTTATGGGAGTCAGTGTTTTGTTTGTGTCATTTAATAATCTAATATACTCAACAATTATTTATTAAATTCCTTACAACGTGCTAAACAGGAACATAGCCATGACTACAACAAAAAATGTCTGGTCCTTATGTAGCTACTGGAATGGGGGGATATATGGACAATTAACAAAGAAACAGATACACTATATAATGCCAGGTAATAAGTGCAATGAAGAAATAAAGCAGGGTCAGAGGACAGGGAGTGACAAAAGGTTGTTTTGGGACAGGTGGTCAGGGAAAGCCTGGTGGAAGAGGTCACATTTGAAAACAGACCTAAATGAACAAAGGAAAGAAGCAGTGCAAGTATCTAAGAGAAGAGTGTTTAGGCAGAGGGAGGAACAAAAGAAGGGAGAGTGAAAGAATATGAGGTAAACCAGGCCAGATAGCATGGGGCTTTGGTAAGCCCTGGAGGTGGATTTTATTCAAAGTATGAAGGGAGGCCACTCGACAGTGCTACGCAGCGATGTGATATAATACGACTGATGCTTCCAGAATGGGGCAAAAGGAGGGAATTAAGATATTTGCCTGGGTCTTAGAGAAGATCCAGAAGAATAAGAACCATATATACTTCTCTATCTTAATATCCTTCACACATCTTTCTTTTAACAACCTTCTGATTAAAACTCCGTCCAGGGTCAGATCACAGATATCTGGATTTCAAACTCAGATTTTTATTAACAAGATAGTTATAGGTTTATAAAAAGAGAGGTAGGTAACTTTTCTGTATGTCAAAGTTTTCCTAATACTGGAGGGAAAGAAATGAGGTAGGGATTTGCATCCTTCATCAGGCAAAATTAATCCGCAACTAAGTATGAATGTTATAGCTTTCAACAATTTTCTATGAAATAAAGGTTCTGATTTTTAACTAACTAAATGTGGAACATTCTTTTCGACTTTCAAATCCTTGTCTGCCTGCCAGTCCTCGCTCCATTGTCTCTGAAACAGGTCCCAGCCTCAGTGTGCCTTTCTCCCCTCCACCCATCCACCACCCCAAGTTACTCTCTGAAAACCTACAATGGAGTGGAATAAAATGCAAATTCAGGGTGGGGGTCACTTTTTGGAGAAGTCCTTATACTCCCTCAATTCACTCTGGAAATGCCCTTATTTTCAAACCACAGAAAAGGAAATATTAATACCATCAACAGGAAACAAACTGTTAAGCCCCTATTGTCCTCCCCATCATTACTCTCCCATTCTTTTGAGAGCCCTCTAGACTGGAAGTTGGGGGGCTTCATCCCACCCACCCTCTGGTTCTCTACTAGGCCACAATTCTGCTTTCACTAGACTTGAAGTTCTCTATCCCCAGGCTACCACAATTCTGCCCCTGACCAGACTAAACTCTCGACTTAATTGGGGAAGAGGGAGAAGCTAAAAGCTAGTGGTAAAAGAGAAGGGGAAATACAGGAGGCACTCCAGAGACAGCGGTGGCCCTGAAGTGGCATTCGGTTGGCAAAACAGGGACCACAGAGCCATCATCCCGCTCCCGAGAGATCCCTAACTCAAGCCAAGACTGCAGAAGCTTTTTATTCTCCAGACTCCAACTGTCTCACACCATATGCAATCACCTCCTAAGCCATTTATCTCCACACCCATTTGCTCCAACCGCAGCAAAGGAAGAAGCTACTGTTCTACAAGCCTGGCTGCTTCCCAGCCTGCAGGGAGGCTGTCTGGGCTGAATTTCACCATTGTTGAAGAAAAATTAGTTTTCCTTTGCAGGCCTTGCTGCCTAATGCCACGTAACAACAATTTTTCCAGCTTTCAGCCCGGCTTGAAAAGCTTTCACTTTTATCTAGGGGTGCAATAACTTAATGTTATCCTCTATATTCTGGTTTAAAGGGCTGCACCAGGAAAGGCATGTCATTATAAGCTAGGACATAATTTGCCTATTGTTCATGCATGTATACCTAGAAAACCAACAAAGGGAATAAGAGCATGCCATGACTTCTCTCCCCACAGATTTCTACTTTGAACTGGTAATAACAACACTCGATGTTAGAGGAAAACAAAGTTTGTATTCCGCAGCAGCGCATGGACACCTAGACACACACCACTTAAACACCGAGTTCTAACAAGTGGCCTCTATAAGTTCTGATAGAGCTAAGTTGGAAATGGGTGCTGGCCAGGGTACGAGGATGCTGCAGTTCCCGGGCAGACAGACCGCAGAGCAATAAACTTTCTCTATTCAGAACTTCACAATCCCAGTGAGGGAGCCCGTCCTACCCTCCTGACCCTTGGGGTGAATGTGCCCCTGCAAGGCAGATTTGGGGACAGGCTCGGCGACGAGGCTCTGGGATGTCCACATGCCGTGGAAATCTGTCTGGCATCTCTCCATTTCAGCAGTCTGTCGCTCATTCAACAAAACGGAACGGCCATAGCCCCTCTCCCCACCTAATAAAGGTACTGTCTCCCCCTGCCCCGCTCTCATGAAATTGCCACTGGCATTCCTGATGCGTGACCCCGGGCTCGCCTCCAGTTTCTAAGATAGTTTCTTCAACGTTTCCAAAGTAACCGCCCAGATACTGGAAAGGAGAGACAGCCCTTCCCCCCTTTCCCCTTTCTGTAGAATTTAAGTGTTTGGTGTTTTGTGGCTAGATAGTGTCCACAGAGGGGTCCTACACCATCCCGAACGGGGGCTCCTCGAGGGCGCGCTGCTCACCTCACCAGGTCCCCGACCGCCGAGAAGCGCCAAGCCCGCGGCGGGCGGCAGGACGCCCAGGATTCCCGGGTCTCTCGCGGGTTCGCGGGGCTGGAAAGCACGGGGAGGGGCGGGGCCAGGGCCAGGGCCAGGCCGGGAGCCGCGCCCATCGCCGCGCCGGGATCCCGGAGCCAGGCGCGGAGGCGGCAGGACGGCGGCCTCCGCCGCCGGTGTCTGAGCCGGGTGCACGTGCCCGGGAGGCCGCCTCGGGTCCGGGTCCCGGCCGGGCCGCGCCTCGCGCCCCTCCCCTGGCGCCGCCCCGCGGTTCCCGCGCGGCTCCGCCACCCGCAAGCCCGCCGCGCCCCCGCGCGTCCCCCTCGCCCCGCCGCCGCGTTCCCGGGCAGCCCCGCCCTCGGCCGCCGGCCTCCGAGACCCTCCCTCCCCCGCGCCTTCCCTTCGCCGCCGCTTCCCGGCCGCAGAAGCCGGTAACGAGACTGGAAGGGCTCCCCGCGAGTGTTCTTTTTTAGTTCCTAGCATCCTCTCTGGGGTCTACACATTCTTTTCATTACAATTGTCCTTATTTCAGAATCAAAAAGGCAAGAATGTTACTTTTTGCAGGAATACTAAAAAGCCACAAACAAGATGCCCACCCATTAAAATATGCTTGAACCTTTGTATTTAAGTTGCCTGCCAGTCCTCGCTCCATTGTCTCTGAAACAGGTCCCAGCCTCAGTGTGCCTTTCTCCCCTCCACCCATCCACCACCCCAAGTTACTCTCTGAAAACCTACAATGGAGTGGAATAAAATGCAAATTCAGGGTGGGGGTCACTTTTTGGAGAAGTCCTTATACTCCCTCAATTCACTCTGGAAATGCCCTTATTTTCAAACCACAGAAAAGGAAATATTAATACCATCAACAGGAAACAAACTGTTAAGCCCCTATTGTCCTCCCCATCATTACTCTCCCATTCTTTTGAGAGCCCTCTAGACTGGAAGTTGGGGGGCTTCATCCCACCCACCCTCTGGTTCTCTACTAGGCCACAATTCTGCTTTCACTAGACTTGAAGTTCTCTATCCCCAGGCTACCACAATTCTGCCCCTGACCAGACTAAACTCTCGACTTAATTGGGGAAGAGGGAGAAGCTAAAAGCTAGTGGTAAAAGAGAAGGGGAAATACAGGAGGCACTCCAGAGACAGCGGTGGCCCTGAAGTGGCATTCGGTTGGCAAAACAGGGACCACAGAGCCATCATCCCGCTCCCGAGAGATCCCTAACTCAAGCCAAGACTGCAGAAGCTTTTTATTCTCCAGACTCCAACTGTCTCACACCATATGCAATCACCTCCTAAGCCATTTATCTCCACACCCATTTGCTCCAACCGCAGCAAAGGAAGAAGCTACTGTTCTACAAGCCTGGCTGCTTCCCAGCCTGCAGGGAGGCTGTCTGGGCTGAATTTCACCATTGTTGAAGAAAAATTAGTTTTCCTTTGCAGGCCTTGCTGCCTAATGCCACGTAACAACAATTTTTCCAGCTTTCAGCCCGGCTTGAAAAGCTTTCACTTTTATCTAGGGGTGCAATAACTTAATGTTATCCTCTATATTCTGGTTTAAAGGGCTGCACCAGGAAAGGCATGTCATTATAAGCTAGGACATAATTTGCCTATTGTTCATGCATGTATACCTAGAAAACCAACAAAGGGAATAAGAGCATGCCATGACTTCTCTCCCCACAGATTTCTACTTTGAACTGGTAATAACAACACTCGATGTTAGAGGAAAACAAAGTTTGTATTCCGCAGCAGCGCATGGACACCTAGACACACACCACTTAAACACCGAGTTCTAACAAGTGGCCTCTATAAGTTCTGATAGAGCTAAGTTGGAAATGGGTGCTGGCCAGGGTACGAGGATGCTGCAGTTCCCGGGCAGACAGACCGCAGAGCAATAAACTTTCTCTATTCAGAACTTCACAATCCCAGTGAGGGAGCCCGTCCTACCCTCCTGACCCTTGGGGTGAATGTGCCCCTGCAAGGCAGATTTGGGGACAGGCTCGGCGACGAGGCTCTGGGATGTCCACATGCCGTGGAAATCTGTCTGGCATCTCTCCATTTCAGCAGTCTGTCGCTCATTCAACAAAACGGAACGGCCATAGCCCCTCTCCCCACCTAATAAAGGTACTGTCTCCCCCTGCCCCGCTCTCATGAAATTGCCACTGGCATTCCTGATGCGTGACCCCGGGCTCGCCTCCAGTTTCTAAGATAGTTTCTTCAACGTTTCCAAAGTAACCGCCCAGATACTGGAAAGGAGAGACAGCCCTTCCCCCCTTTCCCCTTTCTGTAGAATTTAAGTGTTTGGTGTTTTGTGGCTAGATAGTGTCCACAGAGGGGTCCTACACCATCCCGAACGGGGGCTCCTCGAGGGCGCGCTGCTCACCTCACCAGGTCCCCGACCGCCGAGAAGCGCCAAGCCCGCGGCGGGCGGCAGGACGCCCAGGATTCCCGGGTCTCTCGCGGGTTCGCGGGGCTGGAAAGCACGGGGAGGGGCGGGGCCAGGGCCAGGGCCAGGCCGGGAGCCGCGCCCATCGCCGCGCCGGGATCCCGGAGCCAGGCGCGGAGGCGGCAGGACGGCGGCCTCCGCCGCCGGTGTCTGAGCCGGGTGCACGTGCCCGGGAGGCCGCCTCGGGTCCGGGTCCCGGCCGGGCCGCGCCTCGCGCCCCTCCCCTGGCGCCGCCCCGCGGTTCCCGCGCGGCTCCGCCACCCGCAAGCCCGCCGCGCCCCCGCGCGTCCCCCTCGCCCCGCCGCCGCGTTCCCGGGCAGCCCCGCCCTCGGCCGCCGGCCTCCGAGACCCTCCCTCCCCCGCGCCTTCCCTTCGCCGCCGCTTCCCGGCCGCAGAAGCCGGTAACGAGACTGGAAGGGCTCCCCGCGAGTGTTCTTTTTTAGTTCCTAGTATCCTCTCTGGGGTCTACACATTCTTTTCATTACAATTGTCCTTATTTCAGAATCAAAAAGGCAAGAATGTTACTTTTTGCAGGAATACTAAAAAGCCACAAACAAGATGCCCACCCATTAAAATATGCTTGAACCTTTGTATTTAAGACCCCTTTAAGTCATAGGGTGAGGGGAGACGTGGAAAGGGTCATGGGAATCTATCTAGACTTTTTACATTTTCATTTACTTGAGTTCAAAATCTCACACTTTTTTATGCTGCTTGGGAAATGCCACATTTTTACTACTGCCTTGAGGAAACCTTCCGCTGACGAAGGGATAGCAGAGGAAAGCCACGTGGGCCTTCTCCCTCTCCAACTGGACAGTAGTGGCATTCTGGGATGTCTTACACACGATATTACCCTAAAGAAGTCTTCTCACAGAAAAGGTTCTGCTGAAGGGAAAAATAAGAGGAAGAAAGAAGGATAGCCAAGGGTTCTCTCAAGCCAGTGAGCAAAAAGCTGGGATTCCCAAGGGTAAGAATTGTATGTGAGATTTTACCCCGGACTGCGTCCAGACCCCTCATTCCCTGGGAACATGCAGAAACAGAGGGGAGGGATTTGATCCTGTCCCTTCCCTACTGCTCTAGTTAAGAAGGCTGGTGGGGTCATCTTTTCCTGAGGACACCTGACTTCAGAGTCAGAATCAGATCTTGGGTTCTGTGGTTCTAGAATGAGGATTGGACCTTGTGATCTCTGTAGGGCTTTTAGTATAGCTGAGCATTTCTCTATGCCCTTAACTATCCTAACCATCCCGTCTGTATTCTGCAAGATATTGGAATCATTCTTTGAATGTGGTTCCCACCTCCAGTCCCCACCCCCTCAGTTGCCAGGATCTTCCATCAAGGCCTCCCCTGTTTACCTCAGAAATGTTTCTGGAATCTCTCCCCTCCTCTGCATTCCCACATTGCTGCTCTTGTTAGACTTTGATTACCTTGGGCTGAATCATTTTAATTGTTTCCTAACTCGGTTTCATGCCTCCTGTATCTCCCCACCTCCAGCACAGACCCAAGAATGTCACTCTTCTGCCAAAACAAAACATTCTCCCCACTCCTGGCCCCCCTCCACACAAACCTGCGGTAACTCCCCTCAGCAACTGGAATACAGTTTCAACCACTTTCACGACTGTTGGAGCTTACCTTTCCAACCTTCTGTTCAATCAACACCTGTGTTCCAGTTACTAAAGCTGGGCCAATTGCCATTATTTGAATACACCCCAGGTTTTTTTAAATGGCCCTGTTTATTTTGTTCATTCTGTTCCTTTACCCTGGATTTCTCCCCATCTTTTACCTGTTGAAGTGCTCCCAAGCTTTCGAGATCCAACTCAAATGCCTTCTCCTTTAATGAAGTTCTTCCAGATTCTCCCAGTCAGATCTGCGAGGTCAGTTAATGTCTCTTTCCCAGCATGCTGTGCTTCTGTTGCAGCTGGCTGTGTCCTCCTGTCTCCCCACTGACTGTCAGGGCCTGCAAGGCAAGGTATGTTTCTGACTCATCTTCATCCCCTGTGGCAATTGGCCACACACACATTTTAAAATGAATAACCATTCTTTGGTTGTGTATAAACTGTATTATTGTAAAAATTCATATACATAAAACTATAAAGGAGGAAATAAACCCCCATACCCTGAAATAACCACTGTTCATGTTTCAGTGATGATATTTCCATGAATCTCTTTATGTATATGCCCATCCATATATATATACCCACATGGAATCATTTCATGTAGGCTGTTTTCTTTGAGACACCCTCTTTTCTAGTCTTGTCTTTTCTTACCTGACCTCTTCCCCTCACTATTCTCCCTCACTCTCAACTATTTAAAAAGTTAAGCATGTTAGCATAACTTTATATACTTACACACATATATATGTATACATGTTATCTTATTCTTATTTTACAAAATAAGTTATAGCATATATACTTCTCTGCTTCCTGCTTTTCTCATTAAACAATAAGTCATAAAAATCCTTCCAATTCAACTAGTATTGCTCTAATTCTTTTATTTTAGAGGTTGCACAATGTTTTGGATGTATTGAATTGATTCAAGAGTTCCCCTATTTATGACATTCAAGCTCTTTTTAAAAAATATTGCCACTGCCATCCCTGTTTCAATAAACATCCTTATATGTGTATCCAAATGCCCTGGAACTTTAATTTCTGAGGGACTGAGTCCTAGATATGAGATGGGTCTATTTAAAATGATAATAGATTACCTTCTAAAAGGCTGTAACAATTTGCTCTGTGTAATATTAGCCATTCCAATATGTGAATAGTGGTGGGGTGTTGTTCT